CTTTTAGGCCCCCCCCCCCCACCTAACTTCATTAAAGGCAGAATCCTTACTATGAGGATAAGGAACTCTTTTATTAAGACCAACTTTTTATTTTTTTTTTGAGAGTTTTTTTTGCTATAGGACGCGTGCGCTCGCCAGAGAGAGACATAGAGACAGAAAGCGAGAAATCACCCCCCAGGGGGGATGGTCACGCCACAATCCCTTCTCCTCCATTTTCCTCTCGGGATCTTGGGCACACACGCACATGCACCCGGCGTGAGTTTTAAGCCACCGGGTTCGGGACGCAAACCGCGGTCGACTATGTGGGAGTCCAGCGACATAGCCATTATGCTAACTGCTGGTTCCCAAGGCCAACTTTTTTTTTAAGAACCATTTTTATTTTACTTTATTTATTCATTTGTTTTAATCTGACCAGAGAGAGACAGAGTGAGAAAGAGACAGAGAGGGAAAGTGAGAAAGCAAGCCGCCAGGTCCAGGACTCAAACAGTGGTCAACCATGTGGGAGTCTAGCACCCTTAACCCCCATGCCATGTGCCAGCCCCCTGACTTTTTTCTTTATTCACCATAGGGCACATGCACTCACCTGAGACAAACATAAAAGAGACAGAGAGAGAGAAAGTGAGAAAGCACTTCCCGGGGGGAAGGCCATGCCGTAATCCTTTCTCCTCCATTCTCCTCTCAGGATTTTGGGCACACATGCACATACACCCAGTGTTTTTCTTTTTCTTTTTTTTTTTGTTTTTTTTTTTTTTTTTTTTTTTTTTGGAGAGTTTTTTGCTATAGGGCACGTGCATTTGCCGGAAAGACAGAGAGAGACAGAAAGCAAGAAATCAAGACCACCCCCCGGCCCTCCCCGGAGGGATGGCTACACTGCAATCCCTTCTCCTCCATTTTCTTGGGATCTTGGGCACACAAGCACACACGCCCAGTGTGAGTTTAAGCCAGCGGGTCTGGGACTCGAACTGTGGTTGACTACATGGGATTCCAGCAACATAGCCATTATGCCAACTGCTGGTCCTGCACCTAGTGTTTTTCAAGCCACTGGGTCCAGGACTCAAACCATGGCTGGCCATGCAGGAGTCCAGCACCACAACCACTATACGATCTGCTAGCCCCCATCCGCTTTTAAATAAACAATTAGCGATAGACAGTAGTTCAAAGCAACACAAGGTCCAGCAGTGGCGGTTCAGTGGTGATACAACACTCCATGATGCCGACCCCACTGGAGCAGAGGCCCAAATCTATGCCTGGAGGTCTCCCTGTGCACGCCAGGTACATGGGCCTGGGGCCTGGGTTGGCTCGGGGGAGAGAGGATCGCAGAAGGCAGACCTGCCTGTGTATGTATGTGTTTCTCTCCCTCTCATGGAAGAGATCATATCTTTAAAGAATTAACAGAAGAGCATGTACTGGGAGAGAAGTACCTCCTACATAGAATCTCGTTTAAAACTTGGAATAATTTATGAGGCAGGTACTACTATTACCTCTATTTTATGGATGAAAACTAAGCACAGAGAGACTGAGTAACTTGAACAGTCAGGCAGCCAGCGAGCACGAGGGCCTGAGCCACCCCAGACGGCCAGGCTACAGTGCCGAGGTTCAGGCCCCAGCACAGCCCGTGACGACAGACTCCCCACAGCAGGAGCCTCCACTGAGAGGCTCACACAGCAAACACCGCAACGGTGGCCAGACAACATCAGACCAGTCAGAGGGAATGTGAGCAGGGGCTGGGAAACAAGAAGGTACAGACAAGGGGAAGGCAACAGAGAGGAGATGAGAAGCAACTAATGCACAGGAAGACAGAGACAGAAGGGCGGAGAGCAGAGGTCCTCCACAGAGATACAAGGGCGGAGAGCAGAGGTCCACCACAGAGATACAAGGAAGGAGAGCAGAGGTCCTCCACAGAGATACGAGG